GACGAAACCATGGTGTTAGTGCTAAGTTAAACAAAAGAGGGGGATAAAATTAATTAGGAAGAAATTAGGATGAAATCAGGGGGAGAGGGAGAGGAGAGGGAGAGGAGAGGGAGAGGAGAGGAGAGGAGAGGAGAGGAGAGGAGCTCTGCCCATGGCAGAAGCCTCCAGAAGAGGGTTTCCCCAGCTCAGGAAGAACAAGCCAAAGTGAAACAAGGCAGGATGATCCCAACAGCACTCCTCTCCCATCCCCATTGCCCTCCCAAAACCTAACAGGGATGCGGGAGGATGGACAGACTGGGAGAACTGGAAAGGGGTCCTCCAGCACCAGCAGGGGACATGGCCAGGTTGGGTCACCCACCGCCCTGCCTGGGTCGGTCCCCAATGCCCACGGACCACCAACTTCTCCTGCCCCCAGTGCAGGGAGACGGGGGACCAGAAGAGCCTCCGCCCCAACTGGGAGTTGGCCAACGTGATTGAAGCAGCCAAGAGATTGAACCTGCCACCAGTCAGAGAGGTGGAGGGAGGGGAGAACTTGTGCGAGGAGCACCAGGAACCCCTGAAGCTCTTCTGCCAAGACGACAAAAAGCTTATCTGCGTGGTGTGTGACAGGTCTGAGGGGCACCATGACCATTCTGTGGTTCCCATAGAAGAGGCTGCCCAGGAGTACAAGGTGAGGGTTTTCTGGGCATGTTGAGATGCAAAGGTCCAGAAGCTCCAGGTGTTGGTGCTCTTGATGGGTGGAGCTACCAGTAGGGCTTTTGGCCTGTGGGATAAACAGGGGATTGACCTCTGTGGACTCACCCATCCTTGTCTCTTGCTACCGACTCTTGAGGTGGCATTGCATGTCCTGAGGAAGAGGTGGACTAAGGAGCACCATGCTCTTGGGGAGCAAGGGGTCCTCTCCCCCAGGGTTCAGCCACGAACAGGGGCTTAGGCAAGAGTAAGAAATTGAGGCACAGGATTTCTCCCCACCACAATCCCTCTGCAAAACTCCGTAAATGGCTCTTTCATCCAGGGTGTGGGTCACTTATGTAGGTCAGCTCTGCTGAAGATCAGTAGGAAAGGAGAGGGAGAGATCCTCAGCCCTTCTCCCACTCCACAGCTCCCCGAAAGAGACTTCACCTTGATCAAAATAGAAAGGAAAAAAAAAAAGGAAGAAGGGGGAGGTAAATTGCCTGGAAACAGTAATGGGGTGGAGGGGGTGTGTCACAAAACTTTGCTGACACTTACCCAAAGAGCTTTAGGAGTTCTCTGTTATTTCTGCTGAGGGTGCCAGACCACGATGCCATTCCACAAGGGACTTCTTTCTTTCCTCTCAGAAACAAATTCAGACCCTACTGCACCTCCTGAAATCAGAGCAAGTGGCACTTCAATCTTCCATGAAGGACAGACAAGACAGAATCAAGGACCACACTGTAGGTGCCCATCAGTTTTCCTGGGCAGAGGGTGGGGGAAGAAAGGAGGAACATCTCCTGCTCCTCTTCCTCTCTCCCAGGGGTGGGTGATGCTCAAGGGCTGTAGCGAAGGGAGAGGGGGTGTGTATCTTTCCCAAATGCCTCTTTTTGGTGGGTCCCACTAAGGCATGGCCAACTTAATGATGACTCTTGATGATCTTATCCTATTCTCTGCTTTGATTCCCCACCGCACTTGTCTTTGACAGAAGAAGACAACAGCTGCAAAGCAGAAGGTTGTAATGACATATAGGAAGTTGCATGAGTTGCTGGAGAAGCAGGAGTCCTCTCTTCTGGCCCAGCTGGAGCAGCTGGACACAGAGATAAGGAACACGCATGAAGAAATCTTCCACGAGCTTTTGGAGGAGAGGACAAGCCTGGGCACCCTGACTGGGGAGATGGAGAGGGTATACCAGCAGCCAGACTGGCAGCTCCTGAAGGTGAGAGCCCAGGCTTTCCAAACATGCAGGGAAGGCCCGTGTTGAACTTGGTCTCCAGCCCTTGGTTTTCTACCCCAACCTGCTCAAAGAGAGACTTCCTTAAAGTGGGACCCCAGTACTCCAAGGGGAGGTGTTCCATGTCACTGAGTCTCTTTTTCTCTCTCATCTAGGACATCAGAACCACCTTAAGCAGGTCTGTGGTCCCTCTCCTGTCAACATTTTACCAGCATAGAGCAGCTCTGTGGCAGGACACTGGGAGAAAGCATGTAGGGAGAGGTTGGCAAGGCATGGATGCTCCTCCCAAGCAGCTTGCAAAAGGGCTGGATGCTCCAGGGCTGAGCTTCAGTGGAGCCCCTGGAGCAGGGGTGAGGCTGTGGGTTCCCAGGTGGGTCTGCTCAGGGCTGCTAATTCCCATGAGGCCTTGACTCAACCACCCCAGCCCTTCACAGCTGAAGCAAATCAATGAACATCTTCAAGGGGGTTGTGATCCTGCTGTGACATTTGCTGTCTGAGATGTGTGAGATGGGGCAGAAACATCATCTTCCCTCTGCTAATTCTCCCCAGGGAGTGCTGAGAAAACACAGAGCAGCAAACTACAGCCAGGCGTAAATCCATCCCCTCTTCCCTTGCAGGGGCCAGAGAGAATCGCTCTCCCACTCACTCGATATTTCCCTTGAGCTGGAAAAGAAATTCTCTGATTTCACAGAGAAAACTGCAGCCATCAAGGAGGCTCTGGAGAAATTCCAAGGTACCATGTGCAGTTCCAGAAAGGCAAATGCCGTCATGCTTGTTGGTGGGGAGGGATGGAGTGAAGCCACAGGAAGGAAAGCCATTCTGGATGTTTAATGAAGGCTTATCTATTTCAAGGTCTAACAATGAGATAACGAATGAGCAGCAAGCATTGGTCTGATGTTGCTGCCTGTCCTCTTGTTTTTCTGCTCTGCCTTCTCAAGTTTCCTGACATTCCCCCAAACCTGTTCCTGACTCTCTGGACTTTTGCAAAAACCCACAATCAGACCAACTGATCTTTCTGCCTCTCACAATTTTTCCTTTCCTCTAGACTTCCTGGAGTTTGAACTTCCATTGACAAGTAAGTGAACCGAACACGTACAATCAAGCCATCATATGAAATAAAAAAATATGGTAAACCAACCTCTGCTGCCCCCAAAGATTGACCTGAAGTGCTCTGCTGCCTCCTTTCCCCCTTCTCCCATCCTTGTCCCTCCTCCAGGCAATGCCTGGAGGGGTCCCAACCAGTCAAAGGGATGGGAAGGGACAGAAAAAGCCCTGTGCTCCCCAGATCTGCTGCAATGAGCCTGCCTCTCTCTCCACCTCCAGCACAGATGACGCTGGACCCAAGGACGGCTAATGGCAGGCTTTATCTCTCGGAAGACTGCAAGCTCATGCGGTGGGAACCCTTTGACCAGGACCTGCCCTCCAAGCCGTGGAGGTTCAAAGTTGATCCCTGTGTGCTGGGCTCAAGGGGTTTCACATCGGGGTGGCACCGCTGGGATGTGGAAATCTGTAGGGAGGGCTTTTGGGCCGTCGGGGTGGTCAAGGAGTCAGTGCCAAGGGGTTTTTTTTTGGACCTGAATCCCAACAAGGGGATATGGGCTCTGTGTCATGACCACGGTGAGTGTGTTGCTTGTACCTCTCCTGATCTGACCTTCTTGACTCTACGCAGTGTCCCCAGGAGGATACGAATCGGCCAACTTAATGATGACTCTTGATGATCTTATCCTATTCTCTGCTTTGATTCCCCACCGCACTTGTCTTTGACAGAAGAAGACAACAGCTGCAAAGCAGAAGGTTGTAATGACATATAGGAAGTTGCATGAGTTGCTGGAGAAGCAGGAGTCCTCTCTTCTGGCCCAGCTGGAGCAGCTGGACACAGAGATAAGGAACACGCATGAAGAAATCTTCCACGAGCTTTTGGAGGAGAGGACAAGCCTGGGCACGCTGATTGGGGAGATGGAGAGGGTATACCAGCAGCCAGACCGGCAGCTCCTGAAGGTGAGAGCCCAGGCTTTCCAAACATGCAGGGAAGGCCCGTGTTGAACTTGGTCTCCAGCCCTTGGTTTTCTACCCCAACCTGCTCAAAGAGAGACTTCCTTAAAGTGGGACCCCAGTACTCCAAGGGGAGGTGTTCCATGTCACTGAGTCTCTTTTTCTCTCTCATCTAGGACATCAGAACCACCTTAAGCAGGTCTGTGGTCCCTCTCCTGTCAACATTTTACCAGCATAGAGCAGCTCTGTGGCAGGACACTGGGAGAAAGCATGTAGGGAGAGGTTGGCAAGGCATGGATGCTCCTCCCAAGCAGCTTGCAAAAGGGCTGGATGCTCCAGGGCTGAGCTTCAGTGGAGCCCCTGGAGCAGGGGTGAGGCTGTGGGTTCCCAGGTGGGTCTGCTCAGGGCTGCTAATTCCCATGAGGCCTTGACTCAACCACCCCAGCCCTTCACAGCTGAAGCAAATCAATGAACATCTTCAAGGGGGTTGTGATCCTGCTGTGACATTTGCTGTCTGAGATGTGTGAGATGGGGCAGAAACATCATCTTCCCTCTGCTAATTCTCCCCAGGGAGTGCTGAGAAAACACAGAGCAGCAAACTACAGCCAGGCGTAAATCCATCCCCTCTTCCCTTGCAGGGGCCAGAGAGAATCGCTCTCCCACTCACTCGATATTTCCCTTGAGCTGGAAAAGAAATTCTCTGATTTCACAGAGAAAACTGCAGCCATCAAGGAGGCTCTGGAGAAATTCCAAGGTACCATGTGCAGTTCCAGAAAGGCAAATGCCGTCATGCTTGTTGGTGGGGAGGGATGGAGTGAAGCCACAGGAAGGAAAGCCATTCTGGATGTTTAATGAAGGCTTATCTATTTCAAGGTCTAACAATGAGATAACGAATGAGCAGCAAGCATTGGTCTGATGTTGCTGCCTGTCCTCTTGTTTTTCTGCTCTGCCTTCTCAAGTTTCCTGACATTCCCCCAAACCTGTTCCTGACTCTCTGGACTTTTGCAAAAACCCACAATCAGACCAACTGATCTTTCTGCCTCTCACAATTTTTCCTTTCCTCTAGACTTCCTGGAGTTTGAACTTCCATTGACAAGTAAGTGAACCGAACACGTACAATCAAGCCATCATATGAAATAAAAAAATATGGTAAACCAACCTCTGCTGCCCCCAAAGATTGACCTGAAGTGCTCTGCTGCCTCCTTTCCCCCTTCTCCCATCCTTGTCCCTCCTCCAGGCAATGCCTGGAGGGGTCCCAACCAGTCAAAGGGATGGGAAGGGACAGAAAAAGCCCGGTGCTCCCCAGATCTGCTGCAATGAGCCTGCCTCTCTCTCCACCTCCAGCACAGATGACGCTGGACCCAAGGACGGCTAATGGCAGGCTTTATCTCTCGGAAGACTGCAAGCTCATGCGGTGGGAACCCTTTGACCAGGACCTGCCCTCCAAGCCGTGGAGGTTCAAAGTTGATCCCTGTGTGCTGGGCTCAAGGGGTTTCACATCGGGGTGGCACCGCTGGGATGTGGAAATCTGTAGGGAGGGCTTTTGGGCCGTCGGGGTGGTCAAGGAGTCAGTGCCAAGGGGTTTTTTTTTGGACCTGAATCCCAACAAGGGGATATGGGCTCTGTGTCATGACCACGGTGAGTGTGTTGCTTGTACCTCTCCTGATCTGACCTTCTTGACTCTATGCAGTGTCCCCAAGAGGATACGAATCTGCTTGGACTATGAGGAAGGGAGGGTGGTGTTTTTTGATGCCGAGAGCAAAGAACAGATCTTTGTTTTTCCGCAGGCATCTTTTCAAGGGGAGAGAGTCTTCCCGTGGTTCATGGTGATGTTTGGCGCTCAACTCAGATTTCTTCCCTAAGGCACAGGACAAGAAAAAGCTATCAACTTACCCTTGGGAAAGAAGCCACTGACTGGGTTTTGTCCTAATTCCACCAAAGGGACAGGAAAGGGTAGCAGTGTTCAGGTTCCTTTCTTTAGTGCAAAATGGGAACATTTCTGTGCCTTATTTCTGTGCCTTTTCATCTTTCAGTCACTAAGTGACTGTTCCTTAGTACCTGCAAACTTGCACTGATGGGGAGTTAAAAGTAAATGTACAATTCTAAATAAGTTCTGCCTTGTGTGTGTGCTTTTCCTTTGTTTTTTACTTCCTGCGGGGTTTTCTTTGGAAGTTGCTTAAGGGAGCTGAAGGAAGAAAAATTCATCCTCCTTCCTCTTCAAAACCCACCGCACAGGGAGATGAGAAACCTGTGCTTTCTGTCCCGTCAAACCCAGCAAGCCTGTGGGAATAGAGGTGGGGAAAAGTCAGGAGCCTGAGGCATTTGCAGCTGGGTCCCATCCTGACTCCATGTGCAAAGGGGGGAGTCAGAATTGGCAGAAACACCTGGAAATGGGGCTGCTCCTTTTGGTGCTGGCTCAGGGTGAGCCCTGATGTGCTGGGCTTTAGTCAAGGAAGAGCCTGGGCTTGTTCCTTGAGAAGATACAGCAGAGCCAGGGGCTCAGAAGAAGGTCTGTCAAGCCCTTGTCCTGTCCCCAGAAGTCCTTGCCTGGGAAAGCAGATATGAGCAGGGGGAGGATTCCTATGGCCCCAGGAGCCCTGTTTTCCCAGCCTCAGTGGGTAATTAAACAATTAAAAGGGTATAATTGTTACCTGAAACACAAGCTCTGGAAACCAGAAGCTGTTTAGAGAGGAGATAGTGCTTTATTCAACGTCGAGTGCTAGGTACCAATCCCCAAATCTAGCACCCCTTACAGAGGACATTCAGCCATTATTTATATACAAAGGATTCTCATTATTCCGCTTCCCTAATCCATAACTGCACCTGGGCTGACACATTAATTAGTGTGACCAGAGGGAAGGCCACCGCCCAAAGTCACTAAACCAGCTGCACGGAGGGATGGGCAATAGGCCACCAGGGGCTGGGACATAGAAGGGGGTACCAGGAGTGGTCACCACCCCATGTCACCACAAAAGATGCCCCCCACTAAAAGAGCTCTCCAGAGGGAGGGAGAGGTGTTGTTGTGACAAAGCGAGGTCCTTTTCCTGGTGTGCAGATGCCAATATCAAATCTTCCAATTCCGGTTCTTTTGATTTACAACCGTCTGAACAAGCATTTTCCCTTTTGCTCTTTTTCAAACTTAACGCTTATATTCCATTTTGACATTCAGAATCCACCAGACCACAGTTTTTTACCAACATCCCAATAATTTCCTGAAGAAAAGAACAGCCACAGAAGGTATTTCATCCCATTTTTACTTTCTCTGACAAAACAACATCAATCGCAATGAAGTATTGCATTTGAAAGATCCAGTTTCGGGCCAATTTTCTGCCTCTTCCAATTTCTCTCGTGGACACCACTGATTCTATTTTTTGTATCAATTTATTTTTGGTCATGGCATCCCCTCCGAACTTCTTCCAGCGGTTCAGGGTGCATCCTAGAGGAAAGCAAGGGGGTGTCTCCTGAGAAGCAGCAGCGCCCATTTGGGTCCCCAAGAAGATCCCACACCGTCTGTACCCACACTAAAAGGAGGGGCGTCTCCCGGCATTTATCAAATGGCAGCTCCTGGGGCCGGTCTCTCCCGCCCGCTCTTGGGAGCGAACCCAACCCAACCCAAGGTGTGCACGACTCAAACAACTCAAAGGAGGGACGTTCTGCCTTCGTTTGAAAAACTCTCTCTGCTGCCCGGGAGATCTCACCCCAACCCACCTTGTCCTTGTCTTCGCCAAATAAAATCCCCCTTTTCAGTCACGTCCCAGAGCTGTGTCGCTCCCCGCCCGGCTGCAGGGGAGGAGCCCATGGAGACCCCATCAAAAAAAAGAGGGGTGCGCACTGGAGTCCAGTCGGGTCGCTGCTCCCCTTGGGGGGGCACTGAGATCACCCGGGCCAGGCTGTCACCACAGTCCCACCTGGGGGGCCAGAAACTCTTGTCCCAAAGCGGGGTCGTTTCCCCGCTGTGCAGCCGCCAAGAGACACCCAGAGCAGAGGGTTCCTCTCTTGATTTCGTTTCTGCAGAGATGGGTGGTCGGGGGGGATCCACAAAGCCAGCACCCCGCCTTCGAAACTCGGAGGGATATTCCTACCGTTCCAAGCACAGAAATACGCCCCTGTAATTGTAATTATTGGTGAGTACCTTATCTTAGCAATGTCTCTTGTTTAGTGCAGTCTCTCGCCTTCATTTCAAGCTACAAAGTCCTTTCATTGGAGGTTGGACTGGGGGGTTGGAACTCCATGATCTTTAAGGTCCCTTCCAACTCCAACCAGTCGATGATGCTATGAATTGAGGTGCCCAGGCTCCAGTACCGGGGGTGGGGGGAGCAGAGCAAGTCGTTGCCCAGTTCGGTCTCCCATTGAGTTGGGGGTCGCGATCCCCCACCGCCACCTTTCCCTTTCCCCCGACTTCCTACAAATTTGGGTTGACTTGATGCCTCCCCCAGCAGCTCTCTGGTTTTCCGCGGGTTTCGGCGCCTCCTACGGTGGGATGTTCCTTCTTCTCAGCCTCCGTCTCTTCTGCGAGGGGCTGTTCATTAGCGGGGCATTGATTGCTTATCCCCAGGGTCTGATTTCACAGGGTCTTGGGACCTTTTACAGCTCTTGATTTGACGGAATGAGCGATTCTACTTTCTACAAGAGATATTACCTTTGGAAAAGTACATTCTACCTTCTGAAAGTAGCTGAGTGGGAGGCGGGGATTAGAGGTGCGCCGGGGGCTGGTCCCTGCCCGTGTCACCGAAAGAGCTGCCCCGAGGGACGGCCGCCGCTGCGGGTCACTGGAACCTGCACCGGGGGGGGCGGGCGAGGCGCGGCCCCTCTCGACACCCCCGCGGGAGGCAAGAGGCGCGTTGTAGCGGGGTGCAGAGAGCATAAAGACAGGAGTGAGTCCCGGGAGGTTTCCAGGGCCCTTGATAGCTTCAGGCAAGGGTTTCGCTAACGAGCCCGAATTAACGACCCACAAGCGACACCTCCCGGCCAACGGGGGAAAAGCAGGGCATTCGGCTAAAACTGCGAAGTTGCTGGGTGATACAAAGCTTGTTGCAAAGAAAGTGCGTGTCCTTGCGGGAAACTGGGCTCCTTGTAACCCCAGACCCGCACCTCCACATCTTCAGCCCCTCCTCGCTGAGTATGAGCTGTCATCCCCCAATTAATAGACCTTTAATTGGAAGGGAGAATGCAATCAGGAGGAGGAGGAGGAGCCGCCACCCATGAGGACAGTCTCCTAATTAGCCGATGGGTGTAAACGAGACGAGGTTCCAATGCCAAAGCCAAGGCGCGGCAGCTCTATGCAGTTTCCCCCCAGCACCAGCACAAAATCTCCCCAGTTCGGGGCTCTTTGGGCACCAGGGCTGGGAAAGCACTGCCAGCCAGGTCCACTCCACCTCCTCTGGGTTGGGCCTCTGAGTCTCTTTAAGTATTTGAATTCTCCCAAAATAGCTCTGAATTGTCCCAAATATCTTGCAGGAAACTGGGGGTTTTTCTTTCTTTGTCCCCTCCCCAGTGAGCGAGGGGGCGGCTGCGGCAGCAGCGCGGAGGCAGAAGGGCTGCGAGGAGAAGGGGAGACGGTGCTGGCGACCCCCCGCCCAGGGAAGGGCAAAGCTACTGGGACGCTGGAGGAGGGACAGACTGGGAGCACTGGGAAGGGGCCCTCCCACACAGCCATGGGACACGGCCAGCTGAGGTCACCAACGCCCACGGCTGCTTTTGGCTGCTTCTGGGGGGCACCGGCAGCAGTCCCATCTCGAAGGGTCAGGATTTAGGGGGCACAGAAGCCCCCCCTCCATGTGCAGGAAAGCACAGGAGAGGATGGGAAGGGGCTCCAGACACCCCCTCCCAGCCGTGTCCTCCAAAGCTCCCAAAGCCAGGATGGAAAGTGGCCCCGGGGGCGATGAGGGGAGGGGACAGGGCTGCCTCCAGCAGGAGAGAAACACACGGGGGAGGTCATGATGGTTTCTTAAAAACAGTACAAAAAAACAGCAACACTATCTCCCTTTACATTTTAATGCTCATGGGAGCCCCACAAGGGCCACTTCACCCCCTGGCTCTGAGGCCCCCCCTGCCCCACACAGGAACAGGGACACACACTGAGCTTTCTGTGCCCAGCTCATGGGGGGAAGCAGCTGCTCCAGCACCAAAGCCACAGCTTAAAAGAAGCCTTCTGGGTTGTCATTTCAGCCGAATTGGCCAATGATATGACGACAGGTGCTCTCCCCCACCTCTCACTCCAAGGAGAAGAGGAGGAGAGAGAAAGAGATTTACAAGTTGAGAACAAACGAAAATGCTTTAATAAATTAAAATAGAAATAACAAAATAGATGCAATATATACAAAGTTGTATCAAGGTTCCAGGATGAAGGCACTGGCAGCACTCGGGAAGTCCCAGACTGGACTCAGCCATGGACAGGAACTAGATACCCAGTCTGGAGTCAGGAACACAGGGATGGGGATCAAGAGCAGACAAACAGACAGGGTCCTCTGCAGATATCAGCCATGGAAGAAAGAGCTGACCCTTTGATCCCTCAGCTTTTACACTCAGCATGGGGCAGATGGGATGGAACACCCCTTTGGTCAGTTTTGAGGCCACCATCCTGTCTGCTCCTCACCACAGCAGTGACCCCTCAACGCTCTTCTACTTCCAACCCTCCAGTGGGGCAAAGAACAGTTACCTTGGTTGTTAGAGCAGTAAATACGAGGAAGAGCCTCTCTGCAGCCCATCCCTTGGCAGGAACTATCAACATCAGTCTAATCGCTCTAAGTATTAACAGGATTTTCTTACAAAATATGCTGGTAATTTCCAAAAGCAGAAGAGGATTAGCTAAGACATAAAACGACTG